GAAGATCTTCAACCTACCCGTACAACAGTCACTGCTAACCATCTGCAAGAGGCATCATGGTCTCTTAATGGACGCGACCCGATTACAGTTGGGCATGGCTTCGCGATCATGCGACCGAGTCTAAAATTAACTTTCACTGCGAGACACGGAACTTAAAATAGATTTTAAAAGATTATTATGGAGCAGGGAAATGAATTCTCTCAGATCATGGTCTCTGCGATCATGATCTGCGCACGGCAGAGCAGTAACTCATGCGCAAATTTTGTATGTTTCGATTTTTCAACTCGGCAATAAAAAACGTTTTGTCATTTGATGTGAAAGGTAAAGATTGTTTCAGCTAGCTATTCAATACAACCTGTTAAATTTTCTTCTCGTTATGTTTTCTTTCCTTAGCCTCATTCAATGCAAGGTTCCAGAGAGAAACAAAGATATGCACAATACCTGGCGGGTAAATTCCCATAATTATCATTCTCTTCGTTTTTGACGAGTGCCTGGACATAATTCCACCATTTTTCGGAATTTTGTTCATCTTCATTTTCCAAAATGTCGCCTTCAATTTCCTCCTGTTTCAATTCAGGTACTGGCGGCTCCTTCCCATTGTGCTCCTCTACTGAGTTAACATCTCCGATTTCTTGTGCAAGATTTTCATGACCCAAGTTTGCCTCGTCTTCTTGTTTATTACACGATGTAAGTTTCTGATCTTCCGACATTCTTCGCCGAGTCGAACTGGGTCCAGGCTAGTGGTGGTGACTTACAGAAAGAAAGAAATTTGGAAATACTTCTCAGTAACTTGAAAAATTTCATCCAAGTTCTAAAAAGTATACACCTTTAGGCCCCGTCCATATGTATCCGGATATTTTTGAATCCGTAACTTTTTCTTTCTGGATACGGCTTCCGTCCACACGCATCCGGCGAATTCGGCAGCGAATCCGGTTATTCTTGACTCCGCTCTCCAGAGTGGGAAAAAAAAAAATAGATCTGCAACGACTCCGATGCCTTGCGGACGGTGAATCCGGTTATTTTCGAATCCGACCACGTAGCAAAATCGTGTGCAGTCTCTTACCGAATAGTAAACCAATATGGCGGCACAGCGTGTAGGCCTAGTTTCTCTAGAGTGAATCTGGATACCATCGGATGCGTGTGGACGGGCGAATTCGATTTGAATACGCTACGTGTGGACGGAAATTTTTGAATCCGGAAAGAAAAAGTTGCGGATCCAAAAATATCTGGATACGTGTGGATGGGGCCTTGGTTACAAATATGTTGTTGTTGTTGTTCGTCCTTCGTAGTCGAAGATGACCAAAGACATCTGACCACTGCCCTGGTTACAAATATATTGATAGCATGAAAATATGACCCATTCGAACATTTAAGGATGAAAAATTGCAGAGAAATTTGTCGGTGGGTGTGTTTAAAACACGGATTAGTTAATTCTTGCACACGATTTGAAATTTCGACATGAATAAGAAAGACCATAATTTACAACATTCAAATATTACGTAAAGCTTAACATCATACTTACTACAAGCTGGCAATAACATAGACCTGAAACCTCATCTGGATATATAATGCAGTATAAGTAGAAATTGTTCACGTCGGCAATGGACTATCACAACAACAATTGAAACGCTTAAACACGCCGCAGTTTTCACCAAAGATGAGAAATCATCAAAAAAATCACGAACCAAAATTTATAATGGATGTAGGCAAAAACAGGTTTTTTTTTTCCATAACAATGATGCTCTTGAAGATTTAAGTTGACCGTTTGGTTACTTGGGTCAGTGATTTGCTTATATAATTATCGTTGCGGGTCAGAAAGGAAGTTTGGTAAAACAATGCCAAATTCCATAGTGTTCTATGTTAGGTTTGTGGACTTCAAAGTTCCGACATATACGTATTACCCTTGGTCCCTTTGGGGTAGTTGATGCGTATTGTAGATATATTGCTGTAAACAACTTTGTCCAACTTTTTTCCAACTTGGTCATTTGTTCTCCTTCTTTTACTCGGGATAAATTCACTCGTTTTGCTTATTCCCATTTCTTGTATTGCTACTTCTTCAATTTGGCGCGATCACAATCACGTGCCATATCATATTAACATTAAATAGACATTTTTTACCGATAGCGCGGCCATTTTGATTGCTATTGATTCTAGAGACATTGCGGGATGTTCGGGGGGCAAATTAGTATGTATTTTCCCTCTAAGCATCCCACAATAGCTACATATGGCACCGAGAGCAATTTCAGAAGTAGCTGCCCTCAGCTTCTTTTATTTATTCCTTTTTTGTTTTGATGGAAGATATTGTTTGCATGAATTATCACGTATACCAGCTCTCCATATTTCAGTATTGTGATTCCAACAGTGTCTGTTTCTCCTCCACCTAGAGAAACTAAGCGAAGTTCTTTATGATGGTAATTTGGATGATAAAAAATATTGCAAAACCAGCGCCGTAGTTTATCGGTGATTGCAGTTTCTTTCACATCTGTGCCCTAGGTGCTTATACTGTACCATACCAGTTAAGGATAATTTTGTTGATAAACTGATAGTTTTAACCCTTTTATTTCTCGTTGGGCTTGGACTTACAACTAAGTATACACATAGTATAGCTTTGCCTGCGTACGTGTTGTTAGCTAGGTCACGTGTCACCACATTACATGCTCGAACTACGATGAGAATTCGATTAACTAGACTGGGTTAACAAGTATTTGAGGTATAAACAACATACTTGTTTCTAGACTAACAACATTTATTTATAGCTTTCGTCCTGAAACGACACCGAATATCATTTTGAGCACAAAACCTATCGTTTTGTTAAACGACTCATTCGTCGGACACTCCCGGAAAATGAGCTACCAAGTTTTGTGCTCAGAACACTTCACTTACATCAGTCAATAATATCGCTAATATAGTAAATTAACCCATGGTCTGAGCATAACTTTATTTTTGGTATATCTATGTATCGGCCAGTCTGACCGGTCTTACGACATTGACTGAAATTACCCACGTGTATCTGATAACAAACATTGAACTGACAAGCCAAGTTTTCGGAACTACAGCGCGTGTATAATTGAACTGCGGGATTGTACTAGGCTTGAATATGAAATGCATTTGCTTGAATAAAATTAGGGATAATTATAATGACATGCGACCCTAAGAAAAGTGGACTTTGACATATGCAACAAGAGTAAGCATGCGAGCAATCGAACAAAAGAATGAACAATGAATACCAGCTGCAAATCGACTGCTATTTTTGTTTTTAATGTTATTTCCAAAAAGATTGCACTCTTTCGTAACCGAATCCCGTCTTGTCGTGCCTCTTCGATTAAGACATGGAGACCAATGCAACACCAAAACTGGGAAATAGGTTTGAATGGACTGGAATATCTCTGCTGACAAAACCTTCTCACAAACAAGTCACATCGGCAGATTATGGTCTTGCATACCTGTCTTAAACAAACGTTGCTCATTCACCTTACCTGTAATGTTATACACGTCGATCGTTTCTTTTGTCAAGATGTTCTTGGTTTGGAGACCATAATACACATGTGCCATCACTCAGGACAGGTGGTTTAGGGCCTGGCTCGGCAAATCGCAGTATTGACTTGTCTTTATTTTAACTCTGTTATCCCAAGCAAACTTTACTCTGAATAAATGTTGCAATATCTTATTTGCACTCTCTTACAGAGTAATTGCTTCGCATATACGTGAAACAGACTTGCTAATGAGTTTAAGTAGCTTCACGCAAATTAGTTGCTTTCATTATCCACACTTGAATAGGTGAATGTCATGGTGTCATGGTGAATGTCGTTGGATTTACAAGACACCGTCCTAATAACTTGTTAAGTGCATTTTTTCGCTTGATTCTAAGTATTTCCCCTTCAGTGTAGTCTGTTTTGACCTGCAACATCGAGGATCCAAAATAAAAATCATGTACAGTTCGTTGCTCAAATGTACCTCTACTTTGCCTAGTAATGCGCGCGATAATTGATTTGTACATGTACCTTGTGTCTTCCGAATGGACTCCCAAAGGCCTCATACACAATGAACAGGCCAAAACAATGGCTTGCACCTTTTTCATGCAAACTTGCTATGCTTGTGTTAGTATTACTTGCAGGTCGTAAGTAACTTCAACTGGTTGTTTGGGCTTTCTCAATTATCCACAGCTTTCAATATAAAAAATAAATAGAAATATAATATAAATAGAAATAATATATAAAAAAGTTCATCCCATTTGTCACCTGAAAGAGCGCAGAAGAAAAACAAATCAATTCAGTACAAATTTGGCTCCGTGATTTTTTTTTTATTGCACTGTAGAAACAATAGTCTTGGCCTATTGAGTAAATAACCCTAACAGTGTTTAGTGCTTATACCTTATAAGTGCTATAATATGTTCCCCCGCGTTTCTAACTAAACTATACAAAACTTCACAATTCTTTTTCTAGGCTACAATTAGTATTAAGAACTTAGGTGTACCGATATAAAATAAAGTAAGTGTCATAAGGAAATGACATTAAATACTTTACAAACTCTTGCAGGTAAAAAGTGTGTTGTATTTATTTTAGCTGTGCAAAGTGAGTTTTACTGTTTAAAATGTTCGTGCTAAGTTATCTTGCAAGTGCTATAGTACGTTTCTCCGGTAATTTTAACCAAACTATACAACCTTTCACTATTTCCCCTAGACTGCAATAGTTATTTTATCATACCAATTAAATACGACATGAACCGATATGAATAACTTGTTCAAAATGATATCATACTTCACAGTCTTGGATAGGTAACAAACGAGTGTATGATAGAACATGCAAGTGAACTGGGACAAACCGACCTACTGAGCCGGTACTTACTCCGGTACCGTTGCATGATTAGCGACTTTGGTATTGTCACATCCCCCCAAAGGACCCCAAACTACCCCTCCCTTCTTCCATTCTCGGAGGAAAGCTGGTCCATTACAGGTACCCCCTCCCCCCACACGTGCGTCCTCAGAATATTTTACGAGGTTGCCCTTGGGCTAAAAGATCGCTAGTACCCAACTATACTCCTGGGTGTCGAGGGGCACCATACGAGTAGTTTCTCTTGTCCAAAAACATCAAGAAGTTACCCTAAGCATGCTCAAATACGAACAGTCGCTTCGCCTCCCTCGTATGCACGTAAACTACGAACTACTTGGATTGGCCAAATGGCCGAATTATGATCGACCTTGCTTGTAAGTGGATCTAGCAGTATAGAAATCAATCATCCTCTTCTTGAAACAAAGCAACTTCTCGACGAGTTTTGGGCTTAAATGACAAAGGTTTCCTCGATGTTTACTCAACGGTTGACATTTCAGGATAAAGGGTAATTGGGATCAGTTTGCTAAACTTGCTGAAAGTGCTCTACTGATAAAATCAAGAGATGTACTGTGATAGAATCAGATACTAAAGAAAAACCAAATGTGTTGTTTCGATTTCTAACTAGCCTATTATTGCAGTATTTGTGGGCACCCTAATTGCATCCCTAATTGGTTTCAGTTCAAACCTAGTACTAAAACAGCCCTAATAATACAGGAATAGATGGATCAAAATAAAAGAATTAGGCTAATCCAGCGTCTTGAGCCATGCTGTAGAATATCCCTCGCTGAGCCAACAGGTTTTCAGGACTGTCAAACTCCACCACGAAACCTTTGTCCAAAACCATGATCCTAAAAAAATGACCAAGTCAACACTACATCAGGAAAGCTCTGCTTATGACACCAAGCCAAGGGCATAGAACACGCGCTCTCAAAAATTGGCGTAAGTTTCATTCCACTTGTACCAGTTAACAAAATAAACAACTAACAAAAACAAACAACACACACGCAAAAATGTTGAACTGTCGAGGTCAGTTCAAATACAAACCTGGTATAGTCCATGATGGTGTTGAGCCTATGCGCAATGGTGAACACTGTGCGGTCAGAGAACTCACGACGAATTGTCTGTTGAATGAGTTCATCAGTTTCCAGGTCCACCGCGGCCGTGGCTTCATCGAGAACCAGGACCTTACTTTTACGGAGCAGCGCACGCGCTAAACACACCAACTGCCGCTGACCAACACTGTGGAGGGGAAGTAAAACGATAG